TTGTGGTGGTTTTCATCTGAAAGTAAGGGTGACCTTCTGGGGGATGTAGAAGTAATCTAATAATCTAAGCAGGCTTGCTTTTTTTTTTTTTAATTAAAAAATATATATGCTTTTATTGATTTCAGAGAGGAAGGGAGAGGGAGAGAGATAGAAACATCAATGGTGAGAGAATCATGACCCGAATGCCTCCTGTATGCCCCACCCTGGGTATGTGCTCTCACCAGGAATCGAACTGTGACCTTCTGGTTCACAGGTCGACATTCAGCCACTGAACCATGCCGCTGGGCTAAGCAGGCTTTTCATAACAATAATAAAATTCACCCCCTGGATCTGTAAGTTCACTGTCAGGTGGGTCTCACCAGCTCTTGCTGACCATACCTGCCAGGACAATCCAGAAGCCAAGTGACCTTGGGCACGCATTGTTGCTCCTAATTCTCATTACAGTCTAAGCCAACCTCAGATGACATATTTAAGTGTTTGCTTTTAGGTGGTTTCTGGTTTAAAGTACATAAAGACAATGAAGCAGGTTATAAAAAAGCACTTAACATTTACCCTGTTCAATGTTTTACCTGTTCGAGCATACCTTTTCTGTTATGACAACTCTGTACATAAAAGAAAGAAGCCCTTTTTAACTTGAAACAGCAATTTCAGTGACCGTTTCAAGTGTCACTTTCCAAATGGAGATAATGTCCAGGAAACAAAGCCTCAGGCTTTTTACTAAGAATCAACTTCAATTCATTATTTGATGATTTTTTTAAATTCCACACAAGTTTACTAAAATCATCATTCGCATGAGGAGGGCCTGTACCCTGTGTTCTGTGGCTACAAAGCTGAGTGAGTCTCTGCCCTTAAGGAGCTTACAGTGGAGTCAGGAGAAGGGCCGGTGAACTGGGGCACTGGGAGGCACTCCCACAGAGGAGGACAGAGTTTGCTTTGGGCATAGAGTGGCATTCAGCTGGCCTCTGGTGGGGGCTCCTGGGAAATGCTTGAGCTAAATTTTGAAGGTTGAATAGGAGTGGCAAGACCATCAGAGGGAAAGAGCCTCCCGGGCAAACTGTGTATGTGAACTAAAGAGCATGGCCTGTTGGGAGAAGGGCAGGGAGTAGCTCTGGTGGTTGGAGTCAAGAGAGGGAGGTAAAATTAAAGAGCTAGGCTGGCAGCAGATTGGGAGAGGCCTTGTATACCAGGCCCGAGTTTGAACTTTACCCTGAGAGTGGTAGGAAGTCACCAAGGGATCTTGGGTCTTGAGACCGATCAGATTGTGATCTCCACTGGTAACCTGGCAGTGATTGCTGGGATGGATTTGTGGTGGGTTGCACTGAGACAAGGGTGGTTAAAGGACCACGATGGCCCTGACCGGTTTGGCTCAGTGGATAGAGCATTGGCCTGTGGACTGAAAGGTCCCAAGTTCGATTCTCTTTAAGGGCACATTCCCAGTAGAAGGTGTGCAGGAGGCAGCTGATCGATGTTCCTCTCTCATCAATGTGTCTAACTCACTATCCTTCTCCCTTCCTCTCTGTAAAAAAAAAAAAAAATCAATAAAACATATATATATTTTTTTTAAAAAAGGGGGGGGGACCACCATGGCACATCTAGAGAAATATAAGGCCCAGTACCGATGAAGGGCTGTGGAGGATACAGAAAGGAGAGCAATGAAATGGGACAAAGAAGAGGGAACAATAAAAATAAATTATAATTTTTTTAAAAAGGGAGAGCAAAACCATGAGGCAAGTGGCTGAAGGGATGGGGAAAGGGCCAGGGAGAAAGGAAGACTTAGCAAGCTGGGTCCATGCCACGCACAGTGTGTTGGAAGGGGACAGGCTTGGGAGCAGGTGCTGACTCTCAGTTTGAAGATGCTGAGCTGAGGGCCGGTAAGGCTTCCCAGCAGTAGGTGGATCTATGTTGGTCCGGAGCCAGGGAGAGTGTACTGGGCTTGAGAGCGTTTTGGGGACTCCTTTCTGTGTCACAGTAAAGCCAGGGAGAAGTGGAGGGGGCCTTTGCAGGAGAGAGTATGGAGTGAGAGAAAAAAGGACCGAAGCCTAGAGGCACCTAATGTTTTAAATCTATAAAACACAGAGTAGATAAGCGAACAGAGTTTTCATTAATAACTCCTTGCCTTTTTTGGATTGTGGGGGCAGGAGAGTGGACTTTTAATTTCTGTGACAAAGGCCCGATTTGTTGGTTAGAGTAAATAGCAAGATGTAAAATGCTCAAGGCACAAAAATCACACCATCAGTTCCGGGTACTTTCCTGTCTCACATGTTTATTTGCCTTTTGGGACACTTCCAGGTTGTCACTCATCTCAAAGGACCACTTTTCCCTCCAGACTGAGGATTGGCCCTCTCAGAGCATTCCACAATTTGATCTCTGAAAAAAAGGTCTTCTCAGACCCAGAGATAGATCCAAGGTTGCAGAATTTTTGGGGTCCCCCCCGCACTCCTTCCAGGATCCCAGTTTCTGTGTAGTACCTCAGCAGCAGCAGGTGGGACTTTGGAAAGACTCTGTTAAGGATAAAGAGGCCAAGTGTGTGGTGGCTCCTCCCTAGTCTTTCTCCCACTCTGAGGGCCAGGGAGAGAGGGCAAGGAAAGGCTGACATTTCTTTTCTTTAAAAGGTTGCCACACTTAAAAAAAAAAAAAAAAAAAAATGTATTCTTATTTATTTCAGAGAGTAAGGGAGAGGGAGAGAGAGACAGAAACATCAGTGATGAAAGAGAATCATCCGTCAGCTGCCGCCTGCATGCTCCATACTGGGGACTGAGCCTGTAACTTAGGCATGTGCCTTTGACCAGAATCAAACCCAGGGCCTTTCAGTCCACAGGCCAGTGTTCAATCCACTGAGCCACACAAGCTAGGACAAAGGCTGATACTTTTGTGTGTGTGTGTGTGTGTGGTTTTTTTTTGGGGGGGGGGGGCTCAGGAGTGTGGGCTGCAGGGACAGACCGCTAAGAGGCACCAGCATCGCCACCTTTATTCATGGGTCCCGGGCTTGGCACAGGGTAAGGGCCCTGGCGACCCTCCCCGCAGGGAACAGATGGGACCCCAGGGCCCTGGCCCCTGCTGAGGGGCTGCTACGGCCACAGGGCACACACCCCAGGGCCAGAGCCCCATGAGGCACCAGGGACCCAGGCCTGGAGGAGATACTTCTAAAGGAGTCCCTGTCTGCCCACAGGACTGGCCCAGCCCCTGGATAATTGCACAGGCCAGGAGCAGTTATTTTTGCATCTGGTACCTGCTCACTTAGAAAATGTGAGATAAGATCTCTTTCTGTTCTGTATAGTTATGTCTGCGGGCCTGGCTGGGTACTGCATAAAGATATGCTGTCAGGGGTCACCTGTCAGCAATCATGGTTTCTCTTTCCATCCCACTCAGGCATGCTCTCTTCTTTTACAGGTGATTGAGGACACACTACACATGGCTTAGCCTGTGTCTCAGAATCTGAAACTGTGTGTCTGCCAATTGTTACACTTCTAATGGGTATACCACAATCATTGAGGGTTGTTTACCAATGGGCGATTCTGTTACCAATAGAAGCCCCTCCCTGGGGCTTCTAAATGTAAGTCATTACCTGCTTCTGGCCAAAAGCTCCCCTCACCTCTGTCCCTTCAGCCTTTCCTTGAATCATGTTGCCCTTGTTCCCTAATTCTCCTCTAACTCCTCTCCTGGCAAGGGTTGTTCTAGCCTTGGTAAACCTGTGGGCCTTAGGAGGACCTGGGCGGATACATTAACTCCCTTGCCTCTGGCATGTTTCCCGTCTTCCTGGGGGCTGAACCTTCCCCACCTCCTTGGACACAGGAGCACTAGGCTTCCTCCACAGCACTGTGAGCCCCGGAGGCCTCTGTCTCAGGTCCTTTGGCATCTTGGAGTCCAGGAAACTAGACTATAGAATTGTCTTAATCTGAGCCACCAATAGCACTCACCGGCCTTCCCCCTTAAAGAGCTGAAGGGTTTGCCAGCCCAAGTAGCGGAGGCCCTGTCCTGTGCCCCTGCTATTTCTGCTGCTTCCTGGACATAGACCACCTCATCTTTCAGGATTCAGCCCGATATCACTGGCTCCCAACCCATCTTTCCTCAGGGACTGGGGGCCCAGACAGCCTGTGCTTTCCTGCCAGAGCACCTGTGCCTGAGTTGGCACGGCCAGTACACCCATGTCCCCACAGCCAGAAGCTCATTGAGAGCTGGAACTGGGCCTTGCATCTTTGTATTCCAGTGCTCAGTACGCTGGCATTCAGGAAGTGTCTTGAGTGCCTATGAAAATGATTAAACCTGAAAGATTCCCTCTGGCCTGGCTTTATTATCAGATCTAAAAATACTTGCAGAGAACCGGCTATGTGCCCGGCCTTCTGGGGCACACCTGTGGAAGGCACCCTGCTTGGAATGTTAACCCGTCAAAATTCTAAGGCTGCTGACAGCTGCGTTCTCTTTCTCTGATCATCATTCTGTGCGGCTAGCCGGTTTACATCTTGTGCCTGCGGGGCATTTTCCTAGACACGTTGGTGGGAGTACCTCTGAGCTCAGAAGACAAAGATCCAAAGTTAACAGAGCCCCATTCCAACCCCGGCCCCTGCCTGTAGGTGAGTCAGACCAGGCTGCGAAAGAGGTTTTCTGCTTGGGAAAGGGATGCAAGGAACTATTTTGAGTGGCTAATGGGGTTGGGACTCTTTCCTGCTTGGGGCCCCACATCATAGGCTCAGGTGCCACGGGTAAGACCTGCATTTGAACTTCTGACAGGTGGCAGGCAGATGGGCCAGCCAACTGGCCTGCGGTGCTGTGACTAATACCTAATGGTTAATGGTTACACCCTTTGTAGCTGGCACGTGCCCTCCATTGTGTGCTACCAGCAAAGGGCCCACTATCAAGTTCCCCGGTAACTGGCTGCCTGGTAGTCACTGTGGAATGCCAGTTGCCATTAATATTTGAGAAATTCTTGTGCTCTGTTTCAGGGCTGAGGCAGAGCATGGCCTGTCTTCCCGTCATGTGAAGATGCCTGCTCGGAGAGTCACATGCCTAAACAAGCTGGTGAATGTTCCCTGTTGTTATTGTTTAGAATTAAATTTTCCTCTTGGGCCCAAGTGGTTTGGGATTTTTCTGAGTCTCCATTTGTTTCCTTCTCTTGTTTCCTCTTTCCCGGGCACACTAGATATAGTGTGAAACCCCTGGCTCAAAAATCACAGTATAGTAGAAGAGCTGGACTCATAAGCAGGTCATCACAATGGGGTGCCAAGAGTTAAAACAGATTTGGATAAGGAAGGGGAGAGAGCAGCCCGAGTCCCCCTCAGTCCTGCCTGGGAAGTTGGGAAGGGCTGGTGAGGGAGGGGCATTTGGGCTGAGGCTTGAAGTGGATTGGACCTAAAGGAGAACAGGTGTGTCCTGTCTTTCTTCCCAGCTGAGGACGTGCCCTGTTCATGTGTCCCGGGGCTGTTGAACCTGCCGTTGGAGGGCAGGCAGGGCCAGATCCTGAAGGGATGGTTGGGGAACCAGAACGTGATTTCAGGTAGAGAGTGGGGCAGAGCGCAGTGGGGATCAGAGCTGAACATTTTGAAGTCACGGAGGGTGTGTGAGGAATGGGAGATATTCAGGAGAGCAATTGGAAGTACAGAACTTGAGTTCACAAGAGGATTCTAGGTTGAGAAAAGGAAGAACTCCTGAAAAAGGGACATTTAAGAGGCAGGCAGAGGAACAGGAACAGCTACAGCCAGAGAGGTGAGGAGACAGACATGAGGGTTTCGGGAGGCCCAGGGAGCGGAGCCCTGAGGGCACTGGGGTCAGCTGTGTGTGTTTCGGGGAGATAAGGGACCAGAGGTGTCAGTTAAATGATCTGACAGCGAGGCAGTGAAGGTGGAAGGGGTGGGACAAGGGTGGGAGACAGATGTAGCCTTCTCTCACCAGAAGTTTGACGGGGAAGGAAAGGAGAGGCGCAGCTGGAGTGGAGAGTCAGGTTCTGTGATGGCTGTTTTGGGTCTCTGTAGCAGCAAAGAGGAAGTATTAAAGACACAGGAGAGTTGGGATCCCCAGGAGGTGAGATCCAGGACCAAAGGTGGGGGTTCAGATGAAGCGCAGGGTCAGAGAGGAGAAGAAGCGCCTGCCTAGCACCCCATTCTCAGGAGAGAGGGAGGATATGGAGCTGTAAGTTAGTGGGGGAGGGAGAGAGGGTGTCTCTGAGGCAGGCCGAGAAGGGCTGCCAGGTCATGAGCAGGGCAGCATGTTTCCCTCTACAGTTGGTGTTGGAGCATGGAGAAGCACTCTGTCAGTCTGGCTTCCCCTGAAGGCCTTCCCCCCCCCCTTTTTTTTTTAAATTTAAGGTATTATATGTGTACATATCTTATCATTGCCCCCCCCACTCCCATATATGCCCTCCCTCCCCAGAGTTTTGCATCCATTGATTATGCTTATATGCATGCATACAAGTCCTTCAGTTGATCTCTTATCTCCCCCATAGCTCCCTACCCTCCCTGTCGTAATTTGATAGTCTGTTTGTTGTTTTACTGTCTCTGTATCTATCTTTTTGTTCATCAGTTTATAATGTTCTTTATTATCCATAAATGAGTGAGATCATGTAGTTTTTTTCTTTCATTGACTGGGTTATTTCACTCAGGATGATGTTCTCCAATTCCATCCAGGTTGCTGCAAACGATAAGAATTCCTTCTTTTTTATGGCAGCATAGTATTCCATTGTGTAGATGTACCATAGTGGGTTTTTTTGGTGTTTTTTAAAATATATTTTATTGATTCTTTTTTTACAGAGAGGAAGAGAGAGAGATAGAGAGTTAGAAACATCAATGAGAGAGAATCATCGATCAGTTGTCTCTTGCACACCCCCCACTGGGGATGTGCCCGCAACCAAGGTACATGCCCCTGACCGGAATCGAACCCGGGACCTTTCAGTTCGCAGGCCAATGCTCTACCCACTGAGCCAAACCGGTTTCGGCTGTACCATAGTTTTTTGATCCAATCATCTGCTGACGGGCACCTAGGCTGTTTCCGAGTCCTAGCTATTGTAGATTGTGCTGTTATGAACTTAGGGGTGCATATATCCTTTTTGATTGGTGTTTCTAGTTTCTTAGGATATATTCCTAGGAGTGGGATTACTGGGTCAACTGGGAGTTCCATTTTCAGTTTTTTGAGGAAACTCCATACTGTTCTCCACAGTGGTAGCACCAGTCTGCAATCTCACCAGCAGTGCACGAGGGTCCCCTGAGGGTTTTGCCCACAGCTGAGACAGGAGCACAGCAGGGGCTTGATGGAACAGGTGTAGGCTGAGCAGGCAAAGACATAAAGCCACAGGGGGCTGGTAGGTGAGGGAGATGGAGTCATGTGGGTGGGAAGAGGGCAGCGAAGAGCTCTAGGAAAGGATTAGAAGAGAGTGGGATTGTGATATGCTACCTCTGGGTGGAGCAGGTTCTGGGGCTGGCCAGGCTGTGGATAAAATGCTAGCAATATAAAGGCTTCTGAAGGTGAGGAGCTTCACACCAGGGCTGCCTACTCAACCCTCAAGCCCTGTGATGGCAGCCAAGGAATGGAAGCCATGAGCTGGAGTGAGAGGAGATTGGGTTCTGGGGACATTCTGGAGAGAGAGGGGCAGAGTCCTGGGGAAATACTAGGAGAGAGGCCAGCAGGGTCCTGGGAGGTCCTAGAGAGAGGGGGCAGGGACAGGGGCGAGCTGGCTGCTGTCTGAGCAGGAGGAGGAAGGGTGCATTCTGGGAGCAGATGAGGTAATGGGTTGTTTCCCACAGACAAGTTCCAGAGAAGGATGGGAGGTGGGAGTGAGGTAGGTAAAAAGAGGGCACCAAGGCAAGGGAATGTGGAGGATCAGTGACAGTGCTCACCTCCGTCAGGGACAATGTCACCAGCAGCCATCCATCGAGTTGGAAGTTATCCTACAGCTGGGGTTCTAGGGTGGGGAGATGAGTGTCCCCTACCTGGAGTTTCTAGACAAAGTCCTGAAGCTGTGTCTCTGGGCGACAGCAGATTCCTGGGTTGGGACTGGGCATCTCCCTGGCCTCTCCCCATGACTGGGTGCGAGAATTGGGCCTCTTGTGAGGAAATCAAACTTGACTCAGCCTTAAAAGGAAGGTTCCTTTATAACATAATAGGAGAGGGTCCACATCACTGGAGTGCATTTTGCTCCAGGCCTGTCCCCACCCCTTGGTTGTTCAAGGTGGATGGCTTCAGGAATATTTCCTGACTCCTATCTCCTTCCACCTTCTCCTGCACAGAAACCTCTCCAGCTGTCCCCTGGTCCCTGGCCCCCAAGCTAAGTTACACTCAGCCATCCAGATGTGCATTCCTCTCCTACACACAGGTTGTTTTCCCTCCCCTGTCTTGCTGCCACATTTCCCACCTGCCCCATCACTGGCACTCTGAGCATCTCCTTACCAGGCAATGAACATGCCCTATAATTGCTGTGTCTTTCCTATCCTCAGACTTCCATACCTGAGGGCTGGAGTGAGGTGCTGTCACCTTTGCATACCTGTCTCCTGATGCCAAGTTGGTGTCGAGGGACTCAGTCATTCTGCTCTGCCCTGGCTTGCTCTGCCACTATAAGTTCCTCCCCACTGGGGATTGATGGTCTCTAAGAAAGAAAGACTACCCTCTGGCCAGCATGGCTCAGTGGTTGAGCATCGATCTATGAACCAAGAGGTCACAGTTAGATTTCCAGTGAGGGTACGTGCCCGGGTTGTGGGCTTGATCCCCAGTGGGGGGCATGCAGGAGGAAGCCAATAGATGATTCTCTCTTATCACTGATGTTTTTATCTCTTCCTCTCCCTTCCTCTCTGAAATTACATATATATATATATATATATATATATATATATATATATATAAATAATAAAGATGTAATATGCAAATGGTTGTTCTGTGAAGCATAACAACCGACCATATAACAACCGATCATGGATCAGCAGGAGGGTGGGGCAGCGAGCTACTGGCAAGCTACTGGCACATGAATTCGTGCACGATAGATAGATAGATAGATAGATAGATAGATAGATAGATAGATAGATAGATAGATTACCTAGAGAACAAATGTTCTGAATTCTGGTCTGGGGAAACTGAGAGGAGTTTTTCACATGGAACTCTTCAAGCCAGAACAGAGCACCTTATTGCCCCTCCTTTCTGTCCTTGCCCAGTCAGTCATCTGTCAGGCTGGAGCTGCAGCCTCCTTCCTCTTAGTTCTTTGTTTTCTGGTTCCACTCCTGGGAAACGGATATAAGATTGCTCAGACTGGAGAGGAAGAACTGAGACACAGCAGCTGACACCCACAGAGCGTCCACCCTGTCCTGTGGCACAGTGACTAAGGCCCAAGCAGGCCGAGCCCTGAGTCCTTCAGCTGCGAGCTGTTCTGGCAGCCAAGCTGGGGTGGTGAGTAGGCCCGGGGTGGGTAGGGGGCGGTAGGAGTGTGTAGGAGTCCTGAGAGTGCCAACCTCACTCTGCACAAGGGTGCCTCTTGCCCAGTGGCACCACTTTTGGCACTTTGGAAAAGTCCTGCTGTGTGTGGGGGGCGGGGACTGTCTTTGAGGTCAACTGGGTGAGAAGTTCAGGAGCCAGCATGGGCCTCTGGGCTGAGGGTTGGGTGTCTGGGCAGGACCTTGGGTTCTGCCTTCAAACTAAGCTGCTCTGGCATTTGCTTGAGAGGTACTTTCAACTTCAAAATGGAGTGCTACCTCTGCCCCACCAAAACCCTGCCCCTGGGCCAAAATTCTCGTCAGTGCTTAGGTGCTGCCCCCCACCTTTGGTCACCTCGTCTGGTAGAATCCAAACCCTGTGCAGTCTCTTGGGTCCACCCCATCTTCTCCATTTTCCCTGGCCAGGCTTGGCTCAGCCTTCCTCATGCCTCCTCTTCTGGACTCTGCCCTCCTTCCTCCTGAACCACCAGGGGATTTTTCTAAAATGCATGTCACCTGTTGCTTAGACTTTCCTCCAGCTCTTAATGTGGAGGATGACATCCAGTCTTCTGGTGCAGCTGGCACGAAAGACCACCAGCCCCCCTCTTATCCCATCTTCAGCCACCTGCCTTA